ACGCGAACCGGTTTGCTGCGCCGGGTGGGTTGTTGAGGGAGGATATTATCGGGTGCTTGAAGGGGATTTCGGAGACGGCTGAGCCGGTGTCTCTTACGGTGGCTTCGTTTGATCCTTCGTATGAGGGGGCTGGAAATCTTGCGTCGGTTGCGGTTGAGGCGATTAAGGTGTTTTTGCAGTCGTTGGTCAGATCTGGGGTGCTAGCTAAGCCGTGAGTTTGTTAGATGGTATGACAACCCAGAATGTTTGCTTTTCCAGCAGCCTTTTGTCTCGATTCCTTCTCTCAAGCGTCAGTGACTTTTCTTGATGGTTGGTCGTATCGTCGGGTCTCTTATGCTCCGGAGCCTCGGATCAAGGCTGGCATCCGACGAGTCTCGCTGGGGAAGATGTCAACGCTCAGCGAGGACAGGAAAAACACCTGGCGGGTTGATTGTTCCATTGAAATGCGAGTCCGGTTCATGCTGGTGTAGGTCCTGACTGCCGTGGAAAGAATACATGCATGTTTGCTTTCAGAGGCGTTCGTAGACCTTAATGCTTGGTGATTCTACAGCTTTACTCCGCCGCTACTTGATGCACGCGGGTCACTTCCGCGCCCGCCAGAATGCGCTACCCATGTACTGGGAGATACATCAACGACTTGGCAAATGTTGGTGGCGTACATTGATGGTTCGAATTGGCAATTGTAGTGTCGGATAATCCAGTTGAAGGGCATATTTGCCTTCGTCTTCTCCTGGAGAGGTGACACTTGTGGCTGAGGACTTGGCCATATCACCACCGCTTCCAAACGGTGTTAGTTTACATGGAATTCCCATCCGCAGTGAGCCCATGATGTGCTCGCCTTCACCTTAAGGAATACAACAGCTACCTGATTGCCGGTAATCGCCCCTGCTAGATTGGTATCGTCTGCAGCAATATCATGCAGTTTGCTACTTTTTGTTTGTCGCGCCTAATCGACAACCCTGTTCCAACGAAAGACGAGTTGGGTCGAGGTGTTTGCTTGTCAATTGTTACCAACACTAAGCTGACGATTCTTCCCCGCTACATGAAAGGCGGATCCCCAGTACGCAACTTGTTGCTCGCGTAACTTCCATCTCATCATCCTCGAAAAACAGTAACACAAAGTCCCTGACCGACCGCCAGACTACTTCGTGAATATGAGAGAAATCGCGGCCGAGGCCTCTTTGGAGCTCAGAAAGCTCGCGGTGGATCTACTCAATGAAGTGGATGCGTATGACACAGCCAACATCTTGAATCCCAAGAGCGACCGCAACTTCAAGTCTAGTATCATCCAAAGAGCACAAGCCATCATCGACAAGCTCGAGGACACTCCACGGGAGAGGGCTATGAACGATTGCATCAAGGTTGGCGAAATGACGGCAAAGCAGCTCTTCAATGCCTGGGGGGTCTTCCAAAAGATTCCAATAGAAGGTTCAATCTCATACCAGGATTTGGCTAGCAGTGTTGGGTGTGAACCGCAGCTGCTAGGTAAGATTATCACCAGACTTTCTCGCTATTGAGATAGAGGACTCATTATTGACTGTCCCGTTCCAGTTCGCCTCGCATGGATGTTGAACTCCACGGGCATCCTGAAGCAGGTCGGTGAGGATGCTGTGGCCCATACTGAAAAGTCCACAATGTTCATCAATGACAATCCAGACGGAGATCTCACAAGAATCGTGTAAGTACTTCATGATGGTACTACACAAACTCCCTTACAAACAACTGACCTGTAAGCTTCGTACATGGCATGGTCTCATACGCCCATTTCGAGAAGTACTTCCATGCCTACGGGCTGCAAGAACCACGAGGCCGAACACACGTTCCATACACCTTTGCGTACAGCCAGCCAGAGAATAACGTTTGGGAGGTGTCTCTCCAGAATCCTGACGACAAGAGGATCTTCCTTCGTTCAATGAAGGCGATGGGGATGCTACTTCCGGTCTGCGGCGTCTATGACTTCTCCTGGATCTCAGATGCCGCACACTCAGGGCCAGCGGACAGGCCCCTTTTCGTCGATGTTGGAGGGGGAAGCGGCCATGCCACGAAAATCATCTGCGACAATTATGGCATACCATTAAATTGCTGTGTTCTTCAAGATCTTAACACAGTCATTAGTGAGGTCGCTGAATCTCAGGATTCTGTTGCCTCACTGGGAATGAAGTTGATGGCCATTGATTTTCATAAGGAGCAGCCAGTCAAAGGTTCGCCGGTAGTATCTCTATCTTTTTCAGAACGATGACTGACATGAAACAGGCGCACTCGTGTACTACATCCGTTATTGTCTTCATAATTACAGTGATGACCTGGTGGTGGAGATCCTGGCTTGTATCGCAAGCTCCATGGCGCAGGATAGCCGTCTGTTGATCGCGGAGCAAATCACGCCAAACCCGCCTTCGGCTCATACGGCGGCCATTGATCTTTTGATGCTGAGTGTCGGCGGTAAGGAGAGGCCGAGACAGGTGTGGAAAGATGTTCTCGCCAAGGCCGGGCTGGGAAGAGTTGAGTTCTGGACGTCTCCGGGCAACCCGCATGGCATTATCGAGTGCTTCAAGAGGTCTTGAGCCGAGGTGGTTGTTTTCAACATGAAGCCTGCGTCGATTAGTACCTAAAGTAGTTTGCTGTGAGAGTAGCCTTGCCAAATCTGAAAGCGAAGACATGCAACAGATGGCAAAGCTCCCTGACGACACTAATAGTGGATCTTCTTGTGCTTTGCCCTGATTCACCGAGCTCCCTCGGCTCAGAACGACTACATGTACCGTAGTGGACGAAGTTTACTACACCTTTCACTCCCGCCTATTGAAGCGCATATGGAGCCGATGGCATATTCCAACTCTCTCAAGACATACCGTGAGTTAGTCTTCAAAGATTGGTAAGCTAAAGATTACAGCCACCACCAGCTAAGCCATCGTCAGATCTGATTACTGATCAAGCGTTTGGACATCACGTGTCTGACGCCCTTTTCAAGGCAAGTAATCGGCGAAACGAATTGGGTAGTTTGAATGTTATTACCCCCTTTGGGAATGAGTCCAGCTAGTTGCTTCCATCACCCAGGTTCGTGGGATCACAGTGCACATGCAATTATTGAAGCATGCCAGCTCTGGCAGGACATTGGAGAAAGAAGATCCACAGCCTTCATTGTGTTCCTATCCTGACTATAGCTCGTAGAGAAGGCTGTAAGTGTCTTTGAAGCATTTAGCCACGTGTTTTATCTCCTGTCTAGTCGTATTTCCAAAACACCATCTTCGTTGGTGGTCGAGAAGGATCACTAATCATCAATTGTTTATCGAGTAACTAATCAGCGAAAGCAAGTCCGAGCTTGCTTTTTGACTTCACGTTGCTTATGAACGACAGGTCTAATTACGTAGGGGATCCGACTGTTTGAAGCAGGGACGGATCGCTTGCGAGAGAGCTTATAAGAAAATGCCCCTGGCACGTTGCAGTGAGCAGAGCAGCCATAGACTGCGATAATTGGCAAGGATAGCCATATTAAACGCAACTCATAAATCTCAAGTCAGTCAAATATCTCACCAATATGGCAAACCGCCTCATCTTCGTCATCGGTGCCACTGGTGCCCAAGGCCTTCCCGTCTGTCGAGGTCTAGCCAAGGATGGAGGCTACAGTCTGCGTGTATTGACGCGTGACTCCAGCTCTGCGAGGGCGAAAGAACTCTCGAAGCTTGGAGATGTTGAGTTTATCGAGGGAACTTTCGCCAACGAAAATGACCTGCGCAAGGGATTCGCCGGTTGCTGGGGTGCTTTTGTCAATATCGATGGCTTCAACTGCGGCGAGAAGGCAGAGACCTACTGGACGATCCGCTGCTACGAGCTGGCGGTGGAGCTCGGGATCAAGTTCTTCGTCTTTGGAAATCTCGACTACGGTTATAAGAAGAGTGGCTATAATCCAAAGTTCCGGTGCGGACATTACGACGGCAAGGGGCGTCTGGCCGAGTGGATGCTACAGCAGAGAAAGAGCAACGACATGGGTGTCGCCGTCTTCACTACCGGCCCTTACATTGAGATGACGATCTCTTCCAAGACAATCATGACGCCACGAGTCGAGAACGGGATTGTCACATGGAGAGTACCTCTGGGTGCTGGTGCAGTTCCGCACGTTGCCCTCGATGATTGCGAACACTACGCCCGTTGGCTCTTTGATCACCCTGAAAGATCGGATGGAATGGACCTGGAGGTGGCCATCGACCATATTCACTACGAAGACCTGGCCAAGGCGTTTGAAAAGGCGACGGGAAAGCCAGCTCAGTACATTGACACTCCCATGGACGTCTATTTCGACAACTTCCCAATCTCCAGCCAACCTGCGGGTTACAACGCTGATCCCACGGACCCGGCGACTATGTCTGTCAGAGATAACTTCTCAGGCTTCTGGACAATGTGGACGAACTCCGGGGGCAACAAGGGGGTTATTCAACGTGACTACGCGCTCCTGGATGAGATTCACCCAAACAGGATCAAGACGGCTGAGGAGTTTTTCCGCAAAGAGAGCGAGAAACGTCGCCTAGCTGGTCTTGGAGAGCTTTTTGAAGTCATTGAGGCAAATAACCTTGCATCTATCCTGAAGCTTGGCGAGGATAACCGGAAGGGGAAATTGTAGTTGAGTGGATGGTGATTGAGACTTGAGTAGCAAATTCATCGAGGATCTAGCAGTTTACTTGGAGCAAGAAATGAATATCGGTATCTTCAGGCTCCAGAACTATGCATTTGACCTCGAAATTCCCGTGATAAGTATTGAACTTTCGCGTTCGAGGCATTCGAATACACCGGACTAGGCATCCGGACATTGCGGAGATTAGGTTGTACTCAAAGTCCGCGACGCAAACTCACTCAACCTCCTCCCGTCAAGCCACTTGTACAGCATTGTGAATGTTTTCTAAATACGCCAATCCATTGATATACTCTTTGATCCTCTTTCCTATATCTTTAATCAATCGCAGACCCCAGTCAGTCGATAGTCTAGGATCAGCTGCTACCACCACGTCAAAATGCCGCGCAGAAAGTTGCCTGACGCGAAGGACCGCCGGAAGCGCCAGAATGCTGACGCTCAGCGCGCATATCGTATGCAACCCAAGAACTCGCCTATGGTGTATTTTGCTTACCCAAAAACCAGGCGCGAGGCAGAAGACCAAGGTTCGACATCTGGAGCAGATGGTCGCCGCTGCGTGGGTAACACAGGAACCAGCAACGCAAGAGTGCGTCAAGGAGGTTCCGATCTGCCCTCCTACTCGCTATGCGGTGGCCGAGTCATCAAACTGCAAGGTGGAGACGTATACTGCTTCATGCAACCTTACAGCTTCGGACATTTACCGGGCGTTGCTATCCCTCTCGGCGCATGAAAACAGGAAAGGTTGGGGCATCATGGTGAGGGAAAACTTTACACTTCGTGATGTTGTCAAGTACGGATTGATAGCCATGGGATACTCCATGGACCCTATGCTTTACGATAGTGCCTTGTCGCTGCCATCGCGTGAGTGGATCGCTGCCGTGAAAGTGCGATGCGGCAGTCTCGATATGCGGCAGGTTGTCGTTGCCGGCCTTAAGATACTGGCTCATCTTACGGCACCAAATGAGCAGCCGGCACTTGAATGGCCCCAGCCAACTTATCTCAGACCCTCCAGAGACGTCATTCATCTAAGGTCGATGTCATACGCGTCGGCGATGCGTGCAATAGCAGCTCAGCTCAGCATAACGACAGAATATCTAATGGACGAGAATGCGCAGTCACTATTCTACAGCATTGCGCATAGTCGCCTGAGCGAGAATGACAACGACTCGAGCGACGATGACACAGCTCTTCAAAAGATCACCCCGGATCTGAAGCCGACCTTCACCCAGCGTTCTCGGGCTCACCATCCTTGCTTCGACTTGATGCCTTGGCCATCTTTCCGCTCCAACGCCATCGTACTGGCTTCTGGGGCCTCGCCGCAGATAGACGAGGACGACCTCTGTATCGACATGCTGGGCGGGGGAGTTCGATGCTGGGGCTCCGCAATGGGGTCCATGCATGGGCGTGGGAATGGTGTGCCGTGGGATGGACGCAGCTGGGAAGCAATGCCATGGTTCCTGGAGAAATGGAAAGGGGTTATAAGAGATGATAGAGACGGCATGATACAGACCAGTGCTTGGTGGAGGAGTATACGGGGTTGTTAGGAGGCGGGAAACCTTGTGAATGACAAGATGTAACACGCCTGTGTACGGATTTCACAAACTTCTCTAGAAAGGTATGTTCTAGTTATCATACACAGAGAAGACAAGCAAGGAAGACAAAGAGAAACATGAGAAACTAGGATAGGGCGGCGTCAGCCCGTCACGAAGTATATGGCTTGAGCTGTTTCTCCGTCCAGTCCCAGTACTTCTTGCCTAGCTCCTTGTCGCGGAGATCCTCTCGTCCAGCTGCGAGCTGACCAAAGGGTACCACTAGAACTGTCGTCAGCATTAAATACATTACTTCAAGCATTAGGGGATCTTACCCCAGCCACCGTTGTTCTTCTCCGTAATGGTAGCGCTTAAGCCGGCAAAAAGCTCAGTGTATGCGCCATTGATCGGCTTATGCGCGAGGAATTTCTAGTAGACACATCAAGGGGTGGTTAGAGTCAGAGGAGTTACGAAGTTCCTCGGGCATAACTCACCACAATGATCAACTGCCATAGCGGCATGGTACGCTGCAGATCCGTCATGAAGACTCCGGGGTCAAGACTCTGTCGTAGCCATTAATAATTGTATACATCCATCAGCTCCTAGACGGCCGCCAACTTACAACACTAATGATACCTTCTCCAGACACTCTTCTCGCAAATTCCGTTCCGTGCAAGACGTTACCAGCCTTGCTCCTCGCGTACTTTTGCATCTGGCTCTCATCCTTTGCATAATCCAAGTTGCTGAAATCGATTGGAGGCTTCGGTGCCATGGCCGCCGTGCTAGAAGATACCCAGACAACTCGGACTGAGTCTCTGGGTGCAACCTTGGCCGTGCCAGACAGTACCGGGCGAAGGAAGTGGGTAAAAAGGAATGGAGCGAGATTGTTGGTGCCCAGTTGCAGTTCGTAGCCCTGGGCAGTCTTGGAACCCGGCGGTGGGGTCATGACACCGGCGTTGTTCCAGAGGACGTCAAGACGAGTTTCCTTACTAAGGAATTCTTGGGCGGATTGCTTGATTGTGGTCAAGTCGTTCAGATCCAGGTGGAGGTACTCGGCGTGGCCATGGGAATTGGGATACAATTCCTTCAGCTCCTTGATCACGGCTGCAGTCTTGGCTTCAGACCGACACGCCATGTAGATTTTGGCGTTCTTCTGGTAGAGGATCTTGGTAAGTTCTTTTCCTAGGCCACCTGAACTTCCTGTGACAATGAACACCTATGTATGTCAGTCTTTGACTGGTATGGATGATGGGTTTAAAACATGGAAGGTACCTTGTCGCTCTGATCAGGCAAATTTGCTTCGGTCAAGCTGGCCTTTGGCGGGAACATATTGCTCAGTGCGCTACCCATCTTGCTGGATTTCGAAATGCTTGAGACGTTTACAGGACTTGATGTCGACTCTTCTGATGTGAGTCATGATCATTGACGTTATATATACCACTCTGTAATGTATGATGGACTCGGATCTACTCTCAGTGTCGGCAGCCTCAGCTGCAGTCAACGTAAGCGTCTATCAACAAAAGGTCCGGGTAACTTGGCTAGAGACGGAAATAAATCGTACATCAGGGAGAGAACAAGCGGCATGTCACTAAGTGTGCAATGGCTCCATATTATGCAGTCAACGTAAGCAGATAAACCTTAATTCGAGAGCTTCTGGAGTCCCGGCTCCCGGTCTTTGGCAGGCCCGCTTATCTCCGGACTTGCACCCCGGGACCCCGCGCCTAGAGGTTGTGCCGGGGCCTCAGTGAGGTGGAACATTGTCTATCGTGGAATGTCCTTAGGTTGGATACGACAGTTTTATCACATCGTTGCGAAACGACATCCTCTAGTCCAAGGCAAAGTCTGCTATCAATGATCAAATGGTGATGAATAATTGGGTATCTTAGGTACTACATCGGTGGAAAGAATAAATAAGCAATGAGAGAGTACGGCAACGGGAGCACCATGCCCGACAGCTCATGGGAGATAACTTAGAACGCTCGCGTCTATCCTCTGGCTATTTGGATCTTGGTAGCCATCTAGTCCGTAGTATGGCAGATCGTGTTGCTGCGCCCTGAGCATCTCCATCCCAGGTGTGATCGTAGCTGGTTCTTGAGTCGCAAAAGACTGATTGAACCCCGAGTCCATATTCTGTCCCTTGGAGGGTGACTGTGACTCTGGATAGGGAACGTCGGCAAGAAAATTAAAGTCGAAGTCCGGAATGGCGGGGTCACCAAATATGTCCAACGGATCCGGAATCTCTGGCGTTGTGCCGCTGGTCGTCATGGTCGACGGTGAAGTGTCCGTCGCCGTGAAGAAAGACGCTCCCGTTTCGGAGCTTGAAGACGCATCAACACTCGGCGTGTCTTGCAGTCCTCGCTCTTGGTTCTGAAGTTGTTGGTAGCCCTTGAACAGCGTGAGCTGGAGATTCCGAGCAATGTCAATGACCTTTTGCTTCATCCCTTCCTCGACGAAACTTAGCTCACGCTCGACCTCTTTTTCGAGCTGTCGGCGGACCAGCGGCGGAAGTTCACGACGGAGATAATCTTCGTAGCCACCCAGGTTCATCTCGGCGTCCTCTGCATTGTGATCTGCAAGAATTAGCGCCAGTCCCTGCTTCCATCGGTAGGGGCACAAGCTTACACGGTGACGGAATCTCCCGCTCTCTCACATCGGGGAAGAGGATACGGTAGACCTGGATCCACTTCTCCGCCTCAGTAAGTTCTTTGGCCGACGTCTTCTTCCGAGAACGAAGCTTTTTCTCTTGATCCTGCGTGATGCCATCCAAGAACTCCGGTTCGCGTACGTCACAGATGTCCAGCGAGCGGGCGTGAGCTTGCAGAGCCAGTTGGGTCTCGAAAGACTGCGAGCATCGCGGGCACGAGAACTTTGGAAGAGAGTGCTTGCGATATATGTGCTCTCTGGTGAATCTTTAGGAGTGAGGTCATGCGAGAGGAGAGGATAAACGTACTTGATACGGTGGACTTGGTCCCAGCCTGGCCCGCAGCATGGTCGCTGGGTTTTGTACTTCCTTGGGTTGTGCTTGAAGAAGGGACACGCGAGTTTGGCGCCTACAATCGTGTCTTCCTGAACTTTCGACAGTTTGGCTCGGGGCAAATGATTCTCATCGCCCTCATCTTCTTCTTCGTCCGGCGCGCGACCGCCTGCTGACCTGTCGTGTTTTCTCGACGGGTTTGCCATTCGCCCCCTTTTGCCTGTGTGCATAGTCACCTTGCTAGTGCCACCCGCTGCCTGTTCTGCTGGAGGTTGCCTTGAAGCTATTTCCCGGTACGAAGGCGCGGATGAACCTAAAGGTGTGCTGTATCTTTGTTGCAACGATGCCGAGTCAAAGGATCGAGATGCTGATGCTGGAGCAGCACTCCGTTTGCTAAAAGGTGAGACTTCCTCGACCTCGCTTGCCCCCCTAGCAGTGTAGCCAGATCGCGACTGCCCCTGTTGCGGTGGTATGAGTGCTGGGACTGGTGGTTGTGCGGCTGATGGGAGTGGTGGTATCCCCCCAAAATCTACCGTTGAATCAGAACTTGGCACATAAGTCGCAGATGTTTGCGACCCTCGTCCCACTGGCGGTGGTGGTCCTTCTAATGAAGCCATTCCATATATTGACATTCGTATCCCTATTTGTGGTTTCATCGATGAGCCTGGCGGTGGTGGCGGTGGGAGAGCAACGTTTGAGTTCCTGTGGCGAGTGACGGGTGCAGGAGCACCGGGAGCTGGAACTTGACGATACATGAAGCTTTCGGGTTCATGTCCTCTTGATGAGCTCGTTGCGCTAGTAGAACCACTTGCCAACATTGTTGGACTGGACTCGGAGACAGCATCATCTGCAGCAGCATCGCCGCCAGGGGCAGCTTCCAACAAGACTTCCTCTATTTGCGATTCACTCTCTTGCTCCTCCTCCTCTTGCTTGACTTGCTTCTTTATTTCAAGCCAACCCATGAATGAGGACATGATCCTATCGACTATGAGGCGTTGGACCTTCTTTGTAGGGTCTTCGTTCTGATTCTCTGGCTCATCCTCTGCATTGGACGCGCTGCCCTCGGTGTCGCCTTCAGACATCCTTCTTGATCTCTCAAGCGATGGGTGACCGGAGACCTGTCCAGGCTGGATCGTAATATCACTCTGTGAGAATTCTGACTTGACTTTTCGGTCGGCATCCAATAAGAGGTTTACGGCGTCATCCCTCGGCGCAGCCGCATAGGCTGCGTCAAGCTCATCAGCGCCCGTATCTATGACCTTCTTTTTCTTCTTTGTCTTCTTAATCATCGTCAAATCTAGAGGTGAGAAGGATTCGCGGCCAGTTTCCGAATGAGCAAACTCGACATCAAACGCGACTGAGTCTGTGCTGATTCCTCGCTTCAGATCTGGTGAAAGTCGTTCTAGCTTGACAGATTTCTCGCCTTGCATCTCTTGGGTGGCCCGCAGAGAGCTTCGAGACGGGGGTTGAGCGAAACCAACCGGATCCGGCTTTTTATCCCCTTCTTGAAGTTGAGGGGAGATGGCTTTGGTATCTACGCACTCGGTATTGCTTGGTTGAGACGAGCCGTCTGACAGGTCTCCATCATCGGTTATGGGAGCCTTGCCCTTATTGGGGGGCGCGGGGCTCATTGTGGCGCGTTGTGTACAGGCCCTATCTGTACAGTGAGGTAAGGTAAGCTGAGGTCGACTCCAAAAGAACCAAAGTCGATGTTCAGACGTTGGATCGAACGGATCAGATTCGAAAGTGAGGTAGATCAGGAGCTTGGGGATGGGTGAGATGCTGAGATTGAGATGCTCAGCTTTGAAGGGGGAAATGGCCGTGGTGAGTTGTGCGCCGCTGCGCAAAACTCGGGGGCGCACTGCGGCTGAAGGGACCCACATGGCCGAGCACCGCGCCCCACTCCCTGTACCTGCCGGCCGGCCCTCTGCCGTTTCGACGGCCGCGTTGAAGTGGAGAGGTGAGTTTATGTCTCGCAAGAATAGGTGATATGCAGTCACGAGGAAATGAGAATAATTTTATATGATTCATTGTCATAGCGGGCAACGATACATGGATCCGTTGCGAATAGTACCCTCGAGGCACCTTTGTCTTGCTTGTTTGCAAGCCCACCTAGGTACTATGTATTCCGCACATCAAAGTTACCTCAGTAGACTCACATGTTCGTCTCGTGTGAATTCGAAATATCCCCGTATCTTACCAAACTCGAAGATTGGTTACTTTCTTGTAGACGGGCTTCTTTTTCATCATCTAGTTCACTCATCCGAATATACCCTGACAAGGTAAACGGCGCTTCCCAGGACATACAGATGGGCTCTTCATCAGGGTAGACATGCCTCGAAAGGGAGGAAACTTGAGTCAGTCAAACAGATTTCAAAGTGCCAAGTTGTGTGAGGATGCTTGACTATGGAATTACATTACTTAAATACACTATTGACAGCTGTGTAGTAAATGTCGTATCTGGAAGATTGGGCCAGTAGATGGATGCCTCTATGCTTGGTACTCAGTGAGGCATTTATATCAAAAGTGCCAGAACGAGATTCCAGCAGCAATTGTGACTATCAGGGAAAGCTCAGCGGAGGGGGTGAAAATTGCCTGTCTCTTACCCAAGAGGCAATTCGGTAAATTCAGCCGTGGGGTCTGACACTTCTTCAGCGGGGCGGTTGTGGGGAGACGTGTGTCAAAAGGGCGCCGGAATGACATGCAGTCAACGCTATGGTGTGCTAAGGCGCTTTTGTCACCCTGTCACGCAGATTGAGCGTTGTTTAAATGAACCCTAGCAGCCGTCTTTTGATATTTTGGCAGTAGAAGGCCACGATGAAGCAGCTGGTGCAATGCTCTTTCCTGGTCATCCATCCGTTCACTCAATGGCTCCTTCCCTCGGAAACCTGGAATTATTCCATTCCATTCCATCAATTCTTTCCGGCCCGGGGATACTCCGTCCGACTTCGCAATTGCCCGGCTGCCTCCAAATACCACGACTGACAGAAACGTCTAATCATCACCACTGCCACAACATCTATCTTGTTGATTAACCAGCCCGAAAGTCCTTACGAAACCTCATGATCACCCTATCGACGCCCGATACCGCATTCCGATTTTATTATGTGTTCTTCTGACCCTGTCAGTTCCTCGGGATGGGTCACTGAATCCGGCTAGGACTTCTTTCCAAGAACTATCAGTTGACCATGAACCCCCTACGCCGAGAGATATCAAACAATCCGGACCAACCATCTCTAGTTACCGCTGTCCGACAATCGGGCATCACCTGCTCTTCTGGGCTGGCCGTCCTTATCTTCATCACCAACGCTCGCCTGCCTTGTGCTATCGCTACCTAACTGTTGGCATGGGCCATCACTGAACGGCCTTTGCTCTCAGAGATAAGGCACACACTAGCCCTTGGCATTCTCTTGGTCGACGGCATAGCCTCTGGGCTTATAACCGCACCATAACCCACCATACCAGAATTGCCAACCATGTCTCTTCATAGAGCGATTTGCAGCCAATACACATACAGCCCCCTTCTTGTTGTCCTAGCCAATGCGCAGTGAGAGCATGGATTGCAACGGGTACTTTTCAACGCGTGCCAGAATATGAGTATGAAACAGATTTGATGTAAAAGCACTCGTGGTATCTTCATTTTGCTAACAATTACCAGAACGGTAGTCCCATCCCGGTCATCCTCAACGCAGGATTTTGATTAAAATATACATGAATATGCGGCAGCACGCAGTTCCCCTCTTGGAAAGTACCAAAGCTTTCTACCACACCTTGTGGAGAGCGCGCCTCCACGCGGGAAGCGTCGCGATGTGTGCACGGTAAGCGTGGATCTCGTCCCAGTCAAGCTCACGTCGGCCAGTGTCGACATCCATCTGGGCGGTACGAAGCCAGCCAGTGCGCTTCCAGAAGAAACCACCAAGCCAGAACACGATGACGACAGGAAGGGCGAGGTACGACTTGAAGAAGCCTTCAGCGTCGTTGAGCTCGGTCGTGCCAGGGGGAGCGATAGCAGTGTAGAACTGTGTGGGTTCTTGTTAGCATGGAATACGTCATCCCGTCATAGGACTATTCACATACCTGAGCAGCAAGCACGATGAAGCAGAGGAAGAGTCCGATCCAGGAGCCGGTGACGCCACCAATGGCCTTGAACGGGATCTCATCGACGGTGTGGCCGTGGTAGGCCCACGCCTTGCGGAAGCGAATGTGCGCCAGGCAAATGGATCCCCAGGTGAAGACCGCAGCCAAACCGGAAAGAGCCAACAGCCAGTCAAACACAACAGGGCCGCTCGCGCTGAGGTTAATGTACGCCAAGGGCGAGAAAATGATGACAGCCAGCACGGAAGGCAGCGGGCGTCCTGATCTGTCAATGTAGGTGAAGATCTTGGGCGCATAACCCTGCTGGGCCAGTGCAGTGAGGGTACGCGAACCACCGTAAACACCAGACACACCAATCGACACGACAGAAACGAGGATGACCACGTTCATGAAGTGGTCGAAGCCCACGAGACCAGCGTACTTGCCGACCAACACGAAGGGAGAGGCCTTGACGTCAGAGTAGGCAGACTCGGAGAGCAGCGCAGGGTCGTCGGAGGGGATCAACAGACCGACGAAGAACAGGCCCAGAATGTAGAAGAGCGAAATACGCCAGAACACCTGCTTGATAGCACCGGGGAGTGTTTTGACGGGGTTCTTGGCCTCGGCGGCAGCAAGACCGACCAATTCAGTACCGGAGAAGGAGAAAGCGGCCGTGACGAATACGGAGCAGAATCCCTTGAAGCCGTTACGGAATGCGCCGGGGTCATACCACGTCTTCGCACCCTGGTACTCGCTGTATCTACCGCTTGACGGTCCACCGCCAAGGACAAGAACGAGGCAGATGATCATGAAGACGACAGTAGCTCCGAGCTTGAGGCAAGACGACCAAAACTCCTCTTCAGCGTATCCTATAGATCCGAAGATGTTGATGATGATAATGACGACGAGGAAAAGTGTAATCCAGACGGCGACGTTGACAGTGTCATTCCAGTATGCGACAACGAGACCAGAGACAGTCAACTCAAGCGGTAGCACGATGGCCCACTGGAAGACATAGTTCCAGCCCATGGCGAAACCCCATGAAGGATCGATGAAGCGAGTCGAGTACGTGTAGAAGCCACCAGAGACGGGATACATGACAGCGAGTTCACCCAAGGCATACACTGCAAGAGATCAGAACCTCTCCCTTTTGCGAGATGAGCAGGGGCTCGAAACTTACCGACGTTGAACATCATGATACCCACGAGAACGAAGTCGATCAAGAGCGATCCTGGACCCTACTTCTGCGTCAGTAACCGCCCCCGACAAGCGAGACAGTATACTTACACCCTTACTCAAAGCACCACCGGAACCGACGAAAAAACCAGCACCAATAGAGCCGCCAATGGCAATCATGTGGAGATGGCGCGAGCTCATGGCGCGGTCGAGCTCGACAATGCCGCGACCATATTCCTTCTTCGTGAAGGACTTCATGTTCAGGCCATTGCGTGTTGCCCAGCTGTCCTCGCTGATGTCGCCTCGGATCTCTTGTCCACTGCCGGTGTCGTAGCCAGGAAGGCCACCGGTGGCCTTCTCATCGGCCTCGACCTTGGTAGGTACAACCCCTTCTGGTGCAGCCATGGCGTTGAATTTCGCGGCTTTGTAGGGTACACAGACGAGCAGTGTCTGTTACAAATGAATGCTGCGGGAGGAGGGCCCGAGAAGAACAGAAATGACGGAGAGGGATGGCTGTCGAGCACAAGACAAACCAGATCAGACGGGGGAAGGGGGAGGTTTATTAAGGAAATGCCGATCGAGAGGACAGGAACCGGCGCGCGAGGACTAAGGGTTCTTGTCGAGGGCGGCAAGCGGATCCAGTCATGCATGGAAAGCCGATAGGCTGCAACTGGTTGACGATGGAAAATTACACACAAGAGAAGGAGGGAGAGATGAGGGTCCAGGGCCGATTGAGTATCAATCAAGCTGGTCTTTCCAACTTTGCCCCCCTCTCGACGGGCGACAGACGCAGATCTTGGCAAGGACAGGATATGGCAGGCTATCCTGGCAGCGACCCCCGTTACATGTCGCATACGATTTGGGGGAGGGCTGGAGGCGATTTGGCTTCTGGTCGTGCTTCGATACGTACCAAGTCCTAGGGGTGGCCAGCGGGAACGAGCGAAACCTTCCCCGTCATCAAGTCTACATGCTCCTCCGTACTCTTGTCTGGGCGAGCTGAGGACGAGGTACCTGGTGAGTTAGGCGGGCTGGCTGCGGACAGCTTTCCGATGTGCATGATGCACTAACGAGGAACCCAGGCGCGGGTACAAACCCATATTCGGCCGAAGAAAGAGCAAGAAGCCGCAGTCGCAGTTGTAACGAAATGGATTTGGACGAGACCCCGTCGCCAGCGACCGTGACCTGGGGGAGACGAGAACCACAGCAATGGGATGTCACCCTGCCCTCCACCGTGGCACCGAGACATATGCGTACGCCCCAGCCGGGCGATTGAGAAAGTCTGAGAGCCCCCAGATAGCGTGGGCTGTGCTGGTTGGCCAATGGGCAACTTGTCACTTGAAGCCGTTAGCAAATGGCTCCGAAAAAGTGGCCGCCCCTCCTA